TAATATTTAACGTCACATCGGCAATATTTCAGCCGTATCGTGACGAGAAGTACATTTATAATACATATATTTATACAATATAAAAAGCTGTCAACGAAGGACAGTACAATAACTAGAATATCACAGAATCTATTTAAAACTAGTTGAGAATATATAAAAGTCATAAATATCAGAGAACACAATATAAAAATGGGCTAGAGATTGCCAGCAACTGAAGATAGATCACCATGTTAGGGTCCATGGGGACTTACAGTACCTTTGCTTCCTGCATGGACCCCGGCAGGATTTATATCACCCCTTCAGTCACTGGCGACAGTGTACCAATTAAGCCAAACTAACATGACGAATATTCTACGATTAAAAACCTGGCATGCAGAAAAATACTTTGAATGATATGGGACTTACATACCCTCTTAGGGGGACAATAATTTTACGCTACTTCAACCCCCCTCGAGGGTACAGCCACTAACAATCTCAGTTATGAATTTTGCACTACCAATCTTTAAAACAATACAACAATTACATCAAAATTTATGTATAAGTTCTATTTCTTTTAAAAAACATAGTATTAAATGAGAGTTAACTTTACTAAAAAGGTCCTTCACTGTTTTTACACTGAAATATTTATCCCTTGTGATGGAAAAATCAATACAGTCAAGCAGGACAAGGGATGCAAAACGGAGGATCTTCACCTTTCAACAAATACTCGTGTGTATATCTGCTATGGCAAATACGACATCGTCGCATAATGACCTCTTTAAATCTGGACTGACAGCCCAAGTAGGTATAACCGGTAGTTGGTTTAATTGCATGTAATTTATTGATTCCTACTTGGTTGTCCCACTTCTTCTGCATCTAATAACAGGTTTATAATCACTGTATGGGATAAGAAGTGGTGTCACAGATTTCTTGAGAGCTACTTTTGCAGCAGCATCAGCCATTGTGTTACCAATGATTCCAACATGGCTTGGTAACCAACAAAAAACGATGTCGTATTGGCCAGTAGCAAGATCATTAAACAATTCAATAATTTTGATTAAAATCGGATGCGTACAGGATAGATTTTTAATAGCTTGAAGGCAAGAGAGTGAGTCTGAAAATATAATGAATTGTTTATGTTTTGATTGGTTATTGATATATTGTAATGCTGTGAATATGGCCTTTGCTTCGGCCGTGAAAATGGAACAGTTATCAGGTATTCGGTTTGATATAGTCCTGGATCCAATGACAGTGGCGCTGGCAACAGCATCACCATCCTTGGATCCATCTGTAAATATACATTTGTAGGTATTGTATGAGGATCGTAGTTGGTTATATTCTTGCAGATGCATTAGTTGATTTGTCCCAGATTTTTTTTAAAATGAGTGAGAGACAGGTCTACTTCAGGCCTTACTAGTTGCCAAGGGGGAGTAGACAAAAGACGGCATGGAGATATTAAATCTAAGTCAATATTTGTATCTGCAATGTGAGACTTGATCCAAATGCCAAGTGGCGGTACAAGTTTTGGCTTGTTGTGAAACAGTTCCTCATTAAGAGGATGGAAGACGCAGTTATAAGCTGGATTTGATTGGTTTGTACGTAATTTAATTATATACTGGAGAGATAATTTTAGTCTGCGTTGTGCAAGCGAAGGCTCATCGGCCTCCACATACAAACTATCTACAGGAGAGGTTCTAAATGCACCAAGACAGAGCCGCAGTCCTTGATGATGTACGCTATCTAATTTCTCTAAATTACTTTGAGCAGCTCCACCATATACAATTGAACCATAATCTAGTTTAGATCTAATAAGAGATCTGTACAGGTGAAGTAAGGTTGTCTGATCCCCACCCCACTTAGTATTTGCAACAACTTTTAGTAGATCCAGAGCCTTCAAGCATTTAGTTTTGAGATATTTTATATGAGGTAAAAAAGTCAAGTGGCGATCAAAAATAAGACCCAAGAACTTGGTCTCCTTCACAACCTTGATTGGGGCACCGTTTAACAACAGTTCCGGGTCTTTATGCGGTCTATAATTTCTACAAAAATGGATACAATTTGTCTTTGCTTTAGAAAATCTAAAACCATTTTCAAGCGACCACTTTTGGATTTTATTTAGGCAAAGCTGTAGTTGCCTTTCTATTGTGTGCATGTTTTTGCCACGACAAGATATGTTGAAGTCATCTACAAAGAGTGACCCATCAATTGAGTCATTCAATACCTTGGAGAGACTGTTAATTTTGATGCTGAATAATGTGACAGACAAGATACTGCCTTGTGGAACACCCTGATCCTGATTATAATGGTCAGACAGGGTTGAACCCAGGCGGACTTGAAAATGTCTGTCAGTTAAAAAACTGGATATAAACTGAGGCAAACGACCTCGCAATCCAAATTCATGAAGATATTTTAAAATGCCATGCTTCCAAGTTGTATCATAAGCTTTTTCTAAATCGAAAAAGATGGATACAGCATGTTGTTTATTTACAATGGATTTTTTTAGAACGATTCTAAACGCACAAGATGATCAATGGTACTTCTATTTTTCTGGAAACCACATTGTATATCTGTAATGAGATGATTGGTTTCCAAATACCAAACTAATCGATTATTCACCATACGTTCAATAGTTTTGCAAACGCAGCTAGTGAGAGATATCGGACGGTAATTTGATGGATCTGTATGATCCCATCCTGGTTTTGGTATAGGGACTACAATTGCATCGCGCCACGAAGGAGGAAAAAACCCTGATGTCCAAATATCATCAAATATAGTTAAAAGTGTTTGGAGACATGATTCAGGCAAGTGTTTCAAAAGCTGATAATGAATATTGTCTGTTCCAGTTGCAGTATCATGAGCTTGCCCAAGGGCGGTATTGAGCTCATGTAGTGAAAATACTTCATTATAGTCTTCACCATTATCAGAATTAAAATTAACCTTTTTCTTTTCCTGTTGTTGCTGAAATGACTGAAATTTGGCATCATAGTTGGATGATGAAGAATGCTTGGCTAAAGTTTCACCTATTTTTTTTGCGATGTCAGATTTATCTGTGAATATATCATTACCATCTTTGAGATGTTTAATGCTGGATTTAGAACCCTTGCCTTTAATTCTTTGAATCATATTCCACACCTTTGATATAGGTGTGCGTGAATTGATTCTGGATACATAATGTCTCCAAGACTGACGCTTATGTTGTTTAAATGTACGTCTAGCCTTTGCACTATTTATTTTTAAAATATTCAAATTATGGACCGTAGGGTGTCGGCGGAAAAAACTTTTCTGCCTTTTTTCTACGCTTTCTAGCCTGTTTGCAATCGTCGCTAAACCATGGTTTGCGAATGTGCGGGTTCACAGAGGACTTAGTAATGGTTTCATCAGCTATGTGTTTCAACTGTTCTGAGAACCTCTGAATAGGGTCTGGAATGTTTCGGAAAAGTTTCTGGTTTTAGTGTTTCAAAACAACGAGTTTGAAATAAGGGCCAATTTGCTCTATTAAAATTCCACCTTGTTGAAGGTGGCACATCATTTGGGAGAACAGATTTTAATACTGTTGGAAAATGGTCACTTCCACACAGGTCATCATGAACTGACCAGTCAAATTCGTTTAGTAAATTAGCATCTGTGAGTGACAGATCCAATGCTGAATAAGTTCCTGTTGCAGGATGTAAGTACGTGTTTGATCCATCATTAAATATACATAAATTATTGTTCGTTATAAAATCTTCAAGGACCGTGCCCTTAGCGTTGGTAGCAACACTTCCCCACAGAGGATTATGTCCATTTAGGTCACCCATGAGGACACAGGGTTGAGGGAGTTGGTCAAATAAAGACTGAAGTTCGGCCTGCTGAATAGGAGAAGATGGTCGAATATACAAAGAGCAAAGAGTGAAGGCGATGTGAAATGTCAGCCGGACTGCAACGGCTTGAAGATTGGTGGTAAGAGGAATAGCTCTATGAATAATGTCTTGTCGGACTAAGATAGAAGAACCTCCAGTTGCTTTTGCTCCTGGAGGTGAGAATAAATTATACATATTATATTTCCTGATATCACATTTATCTGTGTTTTTAAGATAGGTTTCTTTCAAACACATAGCTGATGGGTTAAAATCTTGGATTAAAAGTTGTAAATCATTAACATTATTTCTAAATCCTCTACAATTCCATTGAATTATGTTTGACGATTGAGTCATGGTGGCTCAATCGGTGAACGCTCACGTACACGTGAGGAGGAAGGACTCCTACTACTGCTGTGTGACGATGGGGTGACATCCATGTCCAGAGCATCAAAGGAGTTATGGACGACTATATCTGAAGGTGAGGAGTTCCTAGAGGTCTGTTTTCTGTTAAGTTTTTTTCTTTCTTTTCTGGTCAATGGTTGAATATCTGGTTCAAGAGCCTCAGATTGTTCAGTGACAAGCACTTCAGCATCAGACACCTTATTATCTGGTTCAGAGGGAGTCACAGTTTGGGTGGAAGATGTAATTAAGTACTGATTGAAATTATACTGACAGGTTGATCTGACTTTACCCAGGACAACTCTGTCTGAATAGAGATTGATGAGGTCTGTGGAGTGGAATGAGCAACAGCTGCAGAATAGGATCATTAGTGTTGGAGATTTATTTTCAACAAGTTTCTTTGCCTCATGAAATGAAATGTTATTTTCATGCTTGACCTTTAGAATTTGGGATTGGGTTTGCCACATAGGACATAGCTTCGAAGATGCCAGATGTTTTCCTTTGCAATTTGCACATTTTATTTCTGCATCACAATCGGTGTTCTCATGTCCACCGCCGCAACGCTGACAAATCACAGAATGGTCACCATATATTTGGAGCCATGACCAAATTTTTGGCACTTGAAACATCGGAGTGGATTGGGGACATACACCTCCACTCAGATGTTGATATACCCAGCTTTTATTGACTTTGGCAGTGCTGAAAGTGCAAAGGTAAAGAGATATGTGCTTGACGGGATGATGTCACCGTCTCTTGATTTCCTCGTAAAACGTTTGACTGCTGTCACTCCTTAGATTTTGAGTTCTTCCATAATCTCTTGTTCGGACATGTCGGACAGGCAATTGTCTCTGTCACGAACAATGCCTCTGCAAGAATTCAAAGTTTTGTGCACAGACACAGCAACCTCAATATTGGCAAATGTAGTTAATGATAACAAATTGAGAGATTGCTGTCTCCGTGAACACTCAACAAGGAGCGAGCCACTACGAAGACACGTCACATTCTTTACTTCTCCACAAATTCCAGATACAGCTTTGGAAATGGCAAAGGGATTGAGTTTAATTGGCTGTTTATTAGCTGCTTCAATGACCACACATCGGGCCCATGAATCCAAAACAGGAGATGAATTTCCGGTTTGATCAGTTATATCTAGATCGACATGTCTACGTTTGGAACGGTTTGAACCAGGGTATTGGTTAGCCATGATGAAAGAAAATAATTCAGCACCTCTGCTCCCCACCCACCATGGAGTGCCACAAAGAGTGATGTTTTATTGCACCGGATCTCCAACATGCAAACATCAGGGATACAGAGGTGGTATACTCCAATAAAAACAACATGAATAGCTATATTTGTCTATCAAATAAAATGCCAGGCTGGTCCGGCCCATGACAAGAAATTGAAGACATACGGAACTCAGAGGTCGAAAGTACCAGATTGGCCCATGAGCCACCGCCTTCTGGCGTAAGACTAGGCAATTTATTCAATGCAAAATTGAGAATACACACAAGGTATGCACGGCCAAGACCAAAATATACAATAAAATACATCACAGGTGTGCATATACGATATTACGCACAGGGCCTGGCATGACCAGCCGATTGATAAGACCGGGCCCATCTTACCACCCGTCTAGGCGAAGTAAGGGTCGAAGTAGTGTGTTGGGCAAAGGAACACAGTTCCAGGAACCAGTGCCCTCAACTACCAGACTCCCGTCCTCCGCCGACACAGGGACGCAAACCACGGCAAACAGGCTGCCCACTTTGGTCGCCTCTTACGACCAGCAATGGGGTGCTGTGGAAATATTCTACCCCGGTTCCACACGGGGGGAAGAGCGATTAGCGTTACCCAGCACTCACCACGAGGAGGTTGCTCTTCACGAGTGCCGCATATGTACTGAACTCGTAGCCATTAAATGGTGGGCCGTTGTCCGTCTTGAGCTGATGTAGTATCCCAAACTCTGAAAAGATTTTCTCAAGTCTTGGAATTACATTGCGACCAGAGATGCCCTTAAGTATGTCTACAATGACATAACGTGAATATTCATCTTGCACCACCAGCAGATATTCACCAGTTGATATCTGACCGAAATCAGCACTAAGCTCTTGCCATGGTCCATCTGGCAATTCTGACATTTTGAGGGGTTCACGTGCTGGCAAATCAGTTGTGATTTGACATGTCATGCAGTTTTTAACCACATGTTCCACCATATTGTGCAATCCACGAAACCATATCTTCTCACGAAGCAGGGAAACTGTTTTCACGATGCCCTGGTGACCAGCATGAGCTAGATCAACAGCTTGTCTGTGTAAGCTTGGTGGCAACACAATTTGAGCACCTTTCAACAGTATTTGATTGTTCATGGCGACAGACAGTTCATTACGACACTTGTACAAAGAGTCATACACCTTGTCTACATTATTGCTTGACTTCCAGTTGCCTGTGTTCAAGGCCTGAACAACAGCTTGTAATACTGGGTCATTCCTTGTTGCCTTAGCAACATGGTCTGTCGTCATGGTTTTAGGGATTGCTGTGGTAACAACATAGTTAATGTATTCTTCAGCAATCTTCTCTTCTCTATGACTTGCAGATTGCTGGACTAGATGTCTACTAAGATAATCTGCCAGATTATCTGCTCCTGGTCTGTAGACAATCTTGAATTGATATTGCTGAATCCTCATCACCCATCTTTCAATTCTGGGAGGTAACGGTGCCTTTGGGTTCCCGAACAGTGTAGTTAATGGCTTATGATCGGTGAATATGGTAAACACTGATCCAAACACATATATGTAAAAATGTTCACAAGACCAAGTGACAGCCAAAGCTTCCCGTTCAGTTTGAGAGTACCTCTGTTCTGTGGGTGTGAGCGATCTGCTTGCAAACTGAATCACTTTGGGTTTTCCATCTGAATCTGGTTGAGTAAGCACCGCACACAAACCAACAGGGCTTGCGTCAACATACAGCTCTGTATGTTTTTGTGGATCAAAGAAACTCAGTGTTGTCGCTTTACACAGTTCAGATTTCAGGTTGTCAAGGGCTGTTTGGTGTTTCTCTGTCCAGTCCCACTGAGCATCCTTGCGAGTCAGCTTGCGGAGTTCATAGGTGAGTGTCGCATAATTTGGAACATGACGAGCACCACAGAAGTTCATCATTCCAAGCAAGCTCCTCACTTCCAAAACATTCTTGGGTGGTGGCTTATCTAGGATTACAGACAGTTTTGCCTGGCTTGGTGTTATGCCGTCATCACTGAACACATGTCCAAGAAACTCAATGGAATGCTTGTTGAAAACACACTTGTCACTGTTTAAAGTTAGTCCCATTTCACGGAGACGTTCAAACAAGGCATGTAGATTTGTGTCATGTGACTGTTGATCACCCCCATGGACCAGAATGTCGTCACTGATGTTGATGACACCATTCAAACCACTGACAGCTTGTCTAATGGTTTCTTGGAATACTTCAGCAGCACTGTTGATCCCAAATTCAAGCGTTTGTACCTGAATAATCCAAGGTATGTGGCAAAAGTGGTGATATACCAGGATTCTTCGACCAATTCAAGCTGGTTATAACCCTGATTAAGGTCAAGTTTGCTAAAAACTTTAGCCCCTGTGAGAATAGTTGTGAGTTCTTCCAGTGTTGGTGAGTTGTGTCTTTCTCGCTTTATGGCTGTATTTGGACATCTCATGTCAACACAAACTCTCACCTTGCCAGGACTACTTGGTTTAGGGACTACCACTAAAGGAGACACCCAGGGTGTTGGACCTGAAGCTCGTTCAATGACGTCACGTTCCAAATCAGATTTGATCTGGGTTTCTATGTCCTTCCTGACATGAAATGGTACACGTCTGTACTGTTGAGCCACTGGTTGAACATCTTTGTCGATATGCAACTGTACTTTCAGATCTTTCAGCTTGCCGAGTCCCGTGAACAAATCACTGTATTCTGTTATCAGATCTTCAGATTTGCAAGAATACACGGATTCATGTGTTTTTAGCAGATGAAGTTCCTGTGCCATTTGCCAACTCAACAAACACTCATCAACGTCAGACACGACACATAATTTCGCTTCAGCAGATGCGGTCTTCGATGCAATCGTGGCTGTGAAACGTCCTAGCACATGCACTGGTTCCTTCTTTCCATAAGGAAACACCTTTGTTCTGCATTCTTGTAGTTTGGGTTTAGGTCGGAGGGACTGGTACACAGTTTTTGAAATTGTGTTGATAGATGCACCTGAATCTGCTAACATGATAACAGGTTGTCCATTAATCTTCATGGTGAACTTTGGAGATTTGGTTTTCTCACCTTGTGACAGAAAGACAAACTCATCTTCATCAGAAGTCTCTTCCCCGCAGTCATCAACCATGCGAACATTCTTCAAATGCCCTCGACCACGTGGTGCATGTGTATGTCCATCTTTACACGCATTGGCAAAATGATTTGATTTTCCACATTTCAAACACTTTTTTCCAAAAGCAGGACAGTTTCTCTGACCCCCACTATGAGGCCAAGCACGTCCACAATTAAAACAAGTTTGCTGTTTCTGTGACTTCTCATGGTTATCATGGTTATCAGAAGTTTTCTGTGGCTTTCTTTTATGGTGCTTATGGGTCATGGCGTTTGCCTGGTGAGTGTTCACATTTTGGGATTGAGTGGAGGACTGAATTTGTTTGGAGTGTTCATGTGTAAGTTCTAGAGTTCTGGCATGAGTTAACAAATCAGCCAATGTAATGCCTGGGATACTCAGGCCTTTCTCACGAACTTTGTTCGACTTGCAAACAGCTATGAGTTGAGATTTTACCACCGCTTCAATTCTATCACCAAAATCACATGTGCTTGCATGCTGTCTCAGTTCATGATAAAACTCATCAATTGAATCCGACTTCTGTTTTAATTGACGAAAGCTATATGTCTGGAATTCCAGATTAACTTGTGGATTGAAGTGATTCGTTATCGCCGTGACAAGCTTTCCAAAATGTGTCTCAATGTCAATAGGGGTTAATTCACCTGCCGGTATCGCATCAACGATGTCATTCAAATCGTCCCCAGCAAACGATAATAGCAACGCTTTCTTTTGCCTGTCATCTGTAATGTTATATCCGACTAACACATTGTTTTCCAATCGGGAGCGCCACTTATTCCACCTCACTAACTTCCCATCCGACTTGCAGTCAAACGGAGGATAACTTGGTAACGATACAGTCACCGGTCCCGCGGGCGCAGGCGGTTGACGAACCTCACCGTCTTGATTATCTGCCATCCTCGTCGCCAATATGATGTTTACAAGTTGGTAAACTTGTATGCAATTAATATGAGTCGATGGACTCGATGTTCGATGGAACAACGTGTTGAAGAAAACGCAACACAGCGGTTACCATGCTTGATTCTTTACTTGCTATCCCATAATATTGTACAAGGGACATAACCTCGGTAATACTGCTAGTAAACATACCGCTAAACAAAAGGCTAAACACTACAATACTGTTAAATATAATTGTCGTTTTCTTGGATTCTCCGGGAGATTCATACATTTTGTGACAGGGACTGGTTTGTCTGCTGGTCATGGCGGGAGGTGCAAGTGTAACATGAAGTCCAATGAACCATTTGCAAAGGAATGGGTGGGTTCAACAGTCAGCTTTCTTGCCGATGGGCTTTCTTGTTGATATACTTTCTTAATGATAGACTTTTTGTTTTATAGGCTTTCTTGTTAATAGACTTTCTTATTGACAGGCTTTCTGGTTGACAGGCTTTCTTGTTGATAGACTTTCTTGTTGATAGACTTTCTTGTTGATAGGCTTTCTTGTTGATAGGCTTTCTTGTTGGTAGGTTTTCTTGTTGATAGACTTTCTTGTTGATAGGCTTTCTTGTTGATAGACTTTCTAGTTGATAGACTTTCTTGTTGATAGGCTTTCTTGTTCATAGACTTTCTTGTTGATAGACTTTCTTGTTGATAGGCTTTCTTGTTGATAGGCTTTCTTGTTGGTAGGTTTTCTTGTTGATAGACTTTCTTGTTGATAGGCTTTCTTGATGATAGACTTTCTTGTTGATAGGCTTTCTTGTTCATAGACTTTCTTGTTCATAGACTTTCTTGTTGATCGACTTTCTTGATGATAGACTTTCTTGTTGATAGGCTGTCTTGATGATAGGCTTTCAAGTGTTTTGAAACCGAAGTGTATAAATATATACATTTAAAGATTCATGCCATCGTATCCCACGTGCGGAGGTCGATGCCCATGATGTGAATCACTGTATTGTGTGGTCCAGACTCGATTATTTACTGAACGTCATCACACAGCTGGAACATCGTTGAGTGTGGCTTTAAACAACAAACAAATATTGTCTTGTTTGAATGACCGTCTCATTGTTTCAATTCCAAATAAATGAACCGCTATTAATATCTAAGTTTCTATGAGTAGCTTGATGTATCATTTCTTAGAGTTAGAGTTAACTCTACGTTGAAAAGCAGTCAATGCACCTTTCTTTATTCCCAACAGAATCCGATCTGGTTTTGGTGTCTGCATTAGGCGATTCATAGAACATGGTAGCATGTATGTTATGTTAGGTATTTTCCCCAGAACAACATACACTTCATATAGTCAGGTATTGCCTGTCAGGTTAAGCCCAGCAGAGCGTACAATAAAAAAAGAGGCCATAGCGCCTTTTTGGCTCACCCGGATATTTATGCAATCATGACAAAATATGCATTTGCATTGTACATGTATATTATATTTGGACCCGCCCTCAGCCCCTCTGGGGAATTTTGAATCCTCACAGAAGAAGTCGTTTATAGCAATATAGCCCAATTACCACTATTTCGGCTGTGTTTGTATTCATACTAAATGACGGCTGTCCGTAAATAATCAATTTTTGACCAGGCAATCCAGAGGTATCATGTGCATCGATCCGAGCAATTGGGATACGATGACATGCATCAGTCTGAGCATGCCTGACATATCGATTCCGTTAGTAACCTCTTTCAACAGGTACTAGTGTTTAATAGAAAAATACCACATTATCATGTGTTAAAGTGTTATAACCCTATATATCTAACTATTGTCTCCAACGTTTTTTATGGCTGCTCTCAGCAAGATTCCAACTATATGGACAAAATAGTGAGTTATCGAGTCTGGATCAGACAATCCAGTGATTGGAAACGGTGACACGCATTAACCAAGTCAGCAGACCTGAGCAACCAATCCCGTTTCACGTCTGGGGTTATGTTTCATAATCTCTCAATGTCGGCATTCGAAAGAGTCACATTTATCTGCAGTAGGCATATTAAAGAAACCGGATACGTGCGACGACTCTGCGACGATAGGGCAGGACATGCTTACCCTGTTTGCGTGTATGGTGTTATCACTGACTTACAGCAGTCAATTCCTATCATTTCCACAGCGACTTTGCCCTTTACGCAAATGCACTTTGTTTCGGTATAGTTTTTTTGGAATGGACAACTCATTTATATATCTGGACTTATGGTTGTAATCTGTTTTAGGTTTTGTTTACTAAATAATTCATTCAATATTGGTTACATTCAATTCGGTGAAATAGCGTGTGTACTAAAAAAACAACAACTGTCCGTTATGTACAGCAACCACCATCAGACAATCACCACAGGCGACTTGAAACGAACCTCAGGTGACAGAAGAATGGATTCATATATCATGAATGCTTTACACTGACCCGTTAACGGAAGTTTTACTATCATATGACAGTGTAATGTTTTCGCGTTCGAAATGACTAGAACACGGGACGTCACCACTGTGAGTTTTCCATATTAAGATATATCCGTCTGTAGCAATCAGCTGTGCCAAAGTGACTTTGATTGGCACTTCAGAAGTTGGTGAGTAGTAAGGAAACGTACAACCTTATTGATAACAACTTCTGGTTTATTGCATATAGCAAAGTTTTCATGTAGATTCTTACACCGTTATCAAGCTGAAGTGGCAACAACCAAGTGATGAGAGGTATATATTCTTGACATGTTGTGATAAGCAGCAGATCAACATTGATAACAGCAGGTAATAGATAACAAGATGAAGACACATGTACAGAAAGAATAACAGTAAGCACACAGGTGATGAACCCACATATACAGCAATGTTAAAATAGCCTATTGCCTGATTAGATTGGTCGATCAAAGGTTTGAGACGGCGGCTTTCTATTGCTTCTGGTGGGTATCTTTGGTGATGTTCTGAATGTTTGGTTCCGAGATTTTGGACTTTGTCAAACTGTATTTGATTGCTAGGGATTTGTTTTGCTGGTGGTCTGAGAGGGATGGCTTTCTGTCTGCCAACTAACTCGGTGATGTTGGGTGTAGCGGTGCTGGAGTAGTGAGGTGGGGTGCTGGTCTTTTCTAAGGATGACATAGATGTCGTCTACCTTGCTGTACCAGACGACAGGATAGGGGCTGTGGAGAGGGCTTGCTCTTCAAAATTGGTCATGTAGATTTCTGTAAGAATGGTGGAGAGAGTGGATCCCATGGGGAGCTGGTGGATCTGCTCGTGGGTGTCGTCTCCCTGAGTGACACACATCCAACACTCCATACCAACCTACTCAAACTACTTCAACACCTACGAGCAGACCTACGGCCTCCAGAAGGGATATGGCTGATCATATACTCTCCCTAACGCTGTGTGCCTGTTAAACAATAACCCCAAGGTCAAAGCTTGATATAATTTTATATTGAGTCAAATTAAAAACTTCACATTTTTAAAAGTAATCCCATATATGATATACAACGGACAAATGTATTAGAGAAGGTAATTTTTAATCATTATTGTCCAAAGAAGGATGTTAATTAATGGTGGTAATCATAATTTGTTCCAAGCACCTACGGTATTCGGTAATAACATCAACAGTTTAAATCATAAGTCCCAAGCACGAGAATCTGATGGCACACAAGTTCAGACGTGGTAGATGGAATTGAGGTCGGGAGACCTTGACGGCCAATCTATAACATTGATTCCCGCATTCTGAAGGAAATTCCTTGTCAAAATTGCTGTGTGGGGTCTGGCATTGTCGTGTTGAAAGATCAAACCGGGTCAATGTGCTGCCATAAAAGGCAGAAGTTTTGGTGCCAGTACCTGGGCGCGGTAAGGAGCAGCGTTGAGGTTGCCACATATGACAAGAAGCCTGGAACGTGCATTGCCACAGAATGCACCTCACACCATGACACTTCCGCCTCGAAATCTGTCAACTTCCTGTACACAACACTGGGCGTAACGTTCATGACGGCGCCTCCACATCATCGCCCTACAATCAGCAAATCGAAGATTAAATCGGGATTCATCACTGAAGACGACTTGATTCCAATTCCTCTGAGTCCATCGTAAGTGTCTATATGCCCACAATTGACGTTGACGTCTGTGTAATTGAGTCAGAATCGGCCCGCAGTATGGCCGTGGTGCTTGAAGGTGAACAGTTCTCAGACGGTTTCGAACAGTTTGCGCACTCAGTCTACCCCTAAACAGTTCATTTCTGGTTGATGTAGCCGTCAAAAATCGTTTACGGAGGTGACGTAAGACAACCTGACGAACCTCTGCATGTGACGTCACACGTGGTCGACCTGGCAGAGGGCCATCAGCGGTGGTACCCGTTTGCTGTAGACGCGTCTGTAAATCATAAACAGTCCGTCGAATACAACCCATCGTCCTTGCGACTTCAGCTACGGACGTCCCCGTATACAACATGCCAATGGCACGTTCGTGTTGCACATTTGAAAGGCGTGGCATGACAAATGGCCGTAAGACTTTTGATTTCTTGTGTTTTTCTTTTTTTGTTAATAACTGCTAAAAGGTGTGGCTGAAAACACGTGCGGTATTATGGCCACGTAACCAGTTGCACGTGAAAAAAAACACTTTTGCCACTATAGTGCTGTGCACATGATTTTGATCACCTGCACAAAAACGGGTGTTACCTGAAGACAATACGTGGCCATTACTGTTTAAATACACAATAAGGGCCAACAATGATAACTGGTCCAAATGTTCAAATTTTAGGATTGTGAAGTTTTTAATTTGGTACAGTATACATTTGTACAACGAACCCCTCGAAGAATTGCTGCCAGTTGCAAACAGGACTACTGCTGATAACAAAACCACTGCCACATAACACTATCGCCTGGGTACTCTGGAGTACTCATTTTGGTCTTCATCCACATCAGTTTTATTTTTCATTCCTAGGACAGTTCATTTGAGGACATTCTTTCTGGAATTTCTGCAGAATTCATGTGTGAAGTATTTCATGTTCCTACCACATAGATTCGACCTTATGTTGAGGCAAACATGGTGGAGAGTTTTGTTGTCAACTGCTATAAATAAACATGGCAATGTCATTTCCCAGAGAGTCCCTTTTACGATTCAAGCCATAATATATTTTGTTTTTAAAACATTAGCAATCAGTGGTAATACCATGAGTTTGTGGAAAAAATCCTTTGAGTTCTACTAATTCAGCTTGTCTAAAATTGGGGCACGGGTGTCCCAGTCGTCTGAGGCGCCGCGATTCTCTGTGCAGAGTTGGGTCCCTTGGGCACGCCAGAAACCTATGATTGTGGTTTCGAATCCCAGTTCGCCCCAATTATGTTTCTTGGTTTGTCAGCACCAAGCTCGTGGAGTTCACTGAAGCGCTAAACGTCTGAGACCTGCATCACTTCGGGCTTTCCTCCCATATTAAGCTGACAAGCCGTGATATAACTGGAATACTGCTAAAAGCGGCGTTAAACCCAACACACTCACTCACTTGTCTCAAATGCTTTCTGTGTCATTCAAAACGTCCTTTCTTTGAGACAGGGATTTGCGGTAGTTAAATGAACTATAAAGGTTCATGAGTTTTGTTATCCACGTTTACACCATATTGATACATTAGCATTTCGTACGCATAAGAGTGAAGTCTTTCTTAATATGTAAAACGTATGTCACAGTGTTATAGTCATAGTAACGACGTTCAGAGTTGTATTTTCGCTTTTCCCTTTGTTTCTTGCATTTGTGACATCACTTCGCGTCAAGGTGGCTACAATGAAGCCGAGAGCAATGCTGCATAATGTTGAAGACTTGCAATAAGCTACGTACCTGTGTAACTTATATGACTAGACTTTTCAGACATGTTACACCATATAATGTAAAAGCATTTCGAATGCATAAGACGTGAGTCGCTTTCACATAAACGGTTTCTGCAACACACAAAGTACAATTTTTCCAACCGCTTTCTGATACTTTATTTGTGTTAATCTTTTCTCCATGAAGGAATACTATAAGCTGCTACTCCTACAAAGAATGTCATGTGCAAAGGTTATGGCAATTTTATATCGTGTTCACTATACCTAAGATTAAGCCATTTATCATAAGGATATCAATTTTGTTTTTTGTACCACTTTTATGTATTCTTTAACAGGGTGAATGCTGTGAATCATAACAGTGACTACTGGCAACAAGTTCATTAATTGTTGTGATTGTTTGAACACTGCAATTATTTCTTAGAGAATGAATAAAATCAGAAGTATTGCATTGCCTCTTCTTAACCACTTCAAAGAGTCTATTTGTGGTGAAACTTTAATCAGTGCACTTATGATATGGTGTATTACCATTTAATTTGCTTTATGCTATTTCTGAAAATACGTCAGAAATATTATTATTAGCATCTTAAGTAACACTGTTATCCAATGTCCCTATACCTCCTGCAACAGCAGCGGTATATCAATGAGAAAACCAAGAAGACACTATTTAACAGCCAGGTGGTTACAATGAACCCGCGAGCAATGCTGTATAACGTGGACGACTTGCACTCAGCCACGTCAAGCCAGTAACTTCCTGGAATCAGAACACAACACGTATCAGTGGCATATGATTATAGCAATAATAGTCATGGAAACTATTTTGACAAGTTGTTATTTAAAAAAAAATATACTCCTTTAAGAGAGCATGCCAAGCCAACTTGTGATATAAAAGGTGTTGTAAAAAATGTTCGTTACCGTTTAATTGGATAATCATCAATGAGTTGAATGATGTGTACTCTCATATGGAAATGTATGAAACCTAAAGTCTTAATAAGCTCATGGCTTTTGGGAAATATCTCCGCTGAATGTGCTTCGATGATGTGAAAACAGATCTTAACACGTGCCACTTAAAGCAGCTTTGTGTCAGAATGTGACCACAGTACCTCCTGCGTCTGGTCAGAGCCAAAATGGGACCAGTGTGGCACTAATATCAACAAGCCAATGTGATACAGCTGACCCTAGATCTTACATCTTATTAAAAGAAACATGTTAGCTGACGAACCTGCGATCAAACAAGCAGTGCACAGAAGTCCTACTATGACACATGCGGAGTAGTAGTTCACCCACGTCATACGGACGCCACATCTGAACACACTGCACAGCAGGATGGGGATGATGACGATGACTGCAGCTTGCACAATCAGATATATACCTAGCTTGATATTGTCAGGACAGTCCTGGAAGTACACTGCGGCTGAAATATACAACATATGGAGAGTGAAACTGCACTGTTTTTAAAACATGCGCAAGACTCGAATCCAAGGCAGGGCTCTGATCCATTGCGGAATTATCAGTTCAGTCAAATGAGAGAGATTAACTCAAGCCAAGCTCGTTAAAACTGGAACAGATGTGTTGATTACTTTTCGCTCATGATCATATTTGTTGTTTCTTTTATCGACGGACTCAGTAGTGGTCCAATTATATGATGTTGATCTTTAAAGAAAATAGTCTGCATCAGACAAGCGGTGTTTGATTCTATCACCACGTCATTGCTACAATGACATACAATTACTCAAGTCAACAATCCCGACCAAGCACAGGCTAGAGGGGCCTATTTCAGCCTGTAATCACAACAGGACCCTGCATACTCACATAGGTACACATCCATGTTTTTCAACTAGGTAGTTTCTACTAATTTGAGTAACAATTATGACATTTTAAACAGTTGATTTGAGAAGAAGTAGTGTCAACCACAATGTAGAAGCAGTGTAGAAGCAGAAGGAGCAATGCGAAGGTTTAACATACCAACATATACTGATGTCATAATATCATTGATAATTTCTATGCAGTGCTTACAACATGTAAAACACATTTGGCAAGATTGGTCTGGAAGCGGGCGATGCATATTCTGAGATTGGTTTAAGTGAGGCGTGTGATACATATGTCATCTGACAGGTGTTGTTGTGGACCAAGACAAGTTCATACACCAAACGATGGAATGCACATTTCACAGTTCATACTTGTGTTATTGCTTACCTGTGATGAACATGGCTGTAGACTGCAACATGCACAGGACAGAATACACGTTGTAGAAAACTGAAATTACAGACGAGTTGATGTGAGATGATGTGCCCATCTTCGGCACACCATGTAGGAGGCCAAGAGAGGTACTTATTGTTGCCTTACCATGACCATATCACCAACGTGCACTATTTATATGAGCTGATGTGCCCATCTTAAGCACACAATGAAGGAAGCAAAGAGAGGTCCTTACTGATGCCTTACCATGACCATATCCCCAACGTGCACTACTGATCTGAGATGATGTGCCCGTCTTCAGCACACAACGTAGGAGGTCAAGAGAGGTACTTATTGTTGCCTTACCATGACCATATCCCCAACGTGCACAACTGATCTGAGCCTGCTCTGTTAAGGTGTCTATTTCACGTGTGGTATGTACTACGGCGCTGGCAAGGGGGCGGGTACTCAAATGCAGAAGCGACCACATCCCCAACATTTGCGGATTGCCCCAAACATTCCATTGAAACCATTTTTTATGGACTATAACAACTTTTACCACATCAGATGACGGAATTTGAAACAGAATGTCACAGCTATGAGCTGTTTCATAACATCACTTACAATTGTGAACAATGCATGTCCAAAGCTGTGAAATAGGAAGCTTTATGCTTCCACAACTCTTACAGCGTCAGAAGTATATACAGTAAACTACGTTTATAACGAACACACTTATAACGAACTGACGGATATAACGAACTTATTCCTAGTCCCGACCATTTGTTGTATATCTGCTGTATGTATCCTTATAACGAACTACGGTTATTACGAACTAAAATCAGTGGTCCCCTTCGAGATCGATATAACCGTAGGCTACTGTACATAACATCAGGACTTCTGGTTCGGAAAAACACGAGACCTCTGCAGTACAACTTTGAAACAGAAGTTCCCGTCTCCACTTGAACTTATGGGAGGTGACCACACAGTGGATTAGATGGAGGCCCCACCTAAGATATAATGCATTATTCGTGTTTTTAAATTCCCATTACTTTGTTTAAAGTTTGTTAAGCGTATTAGACCTTGACCTGCATGACATCGAGTCATATGTCAAACAAGCCAGAGGTTCATAGAAGCCATGTAAGATGTCGCCAACATCATTAATAAACGCGTGATGGCTGAGAAACCAATTGCTGTGACAGAGCTCAATTTCCAGCAATCAGGTATACGTTGAAACTCTGCATTTATAGATCCCCACGGTTCATCCAATTGTGTTTGAGAAAACAGATTGCTTCCTTCCATAAAGCAATATAAAAGCTCCATCACAGGATCATTTAAAGAATGAAACATGCAGCTTGAGTGAACGATAACTGATTCTATTTTGCATATAGTGCTTTCCTGTTTAAAGTGGACATGTATGATGCATACGATGGTTGGGGGTCTAGTTTGCCCTGCTATTTCCTCGTGACCTTTCTGATAGTCGACCTTGTACAACTGGCACAGGATGGTTTGGGGTCTGTTCTGTGCTGATGTTCTCTTACAGCCTTTATGTTGTTATCAAAGTCATTACCATAATCATAATCTCTGCTGTTTCACTCCAGAAATCCAGGGTAGCGTGAGTCAGTTTGATTCAATATCAAATTTGAAATGTGGCATTAATGACTGCAAAGGAGTTCCGGATATGTTGAGTCCATGATTCTCACCTTTTTCTACTGCGTCATAAACCGTGTGGCCTGAAATGAAGAATATTTCACTTATCATTATGAAACATAACATACAATGTCACTATCTTAGCGTGTATTCAATTTTGTGCAGTATTTCACATCATATCCTAGCTAGTTTAGCTGTCACCACTAACAATGTGTTTCTAAAGCCGCTCATAAACCTGGGCTCGTTTTACCATCACCACTAAGATACCAGCTGAGGGTCAGTTACACATGGTGGCGTTAGACCTGAGTAAGCCTAACCGTCAACATCAAGGTCCCAGCTGATCCTGGGTTGTCTAATTTAGTCATATATGTCTCAGTTAAACTTACCGTCATCATCAAGCTGTTCATAGACTCTCACTTGTGCCATCCCCAGGCTGTCTGAAACTTTAAGTTTTAAATTTGAATGTTAATTAGACTGAACATTGGAGGTAAAAGTTTATGCGTCCGTTTGCACAAAGCAGCAACAAGTCAGCCTTTTCTCATTTTGTAAGTCTTTATTGTGCGTATCAATATTGTCCACATATATTGTGCCCTTTGTTATGCAAGAGCAAGACGACACTCTGTCACACATTCAGGGGACAACCTGTCACACATTCAGGGGACAGTCTGTCACACAATCAGGGGACAATCTGTCACACATTCAGGGGACAAACTGTCGCACAATAAGGGGACAATATGTCACACATTCAGGGGACAACCTGTCACACCATCAGGGGAAAATCTATCACACATTCAGGGGACAGTCTGTCACACAATCAGGGGACAATCTGTCACACATTCAGGGGACAGTCTGTCAAACAATCAGGGGACAATTTGTCACACATTCATGGGACAATCTGTCGCATAATCAGGGGACAATCGGTAACACAATCAGGGGACAATCCACAACACAATCGGGGGAAGTCTGTAACACAATCAGGGCACAATCTGTCACACAATCAGGGGACAATCTGTCACACAATCAGGGGACAATCTGATGCCATTTTCAGGAGAGACTAGTGTTGTGTTTCACTTTAAGAACATTTGACACTTTAAGTTCAACCTTGATGATCAGTTTTGCCAAGTATATGTATATATATGTATATATCAATGCTATCAATGATGATACTCTGTAGTAGCAATTGTAGACTATGAGAGAATGAGTGAGTGTGTGTTTTTGTCACATTTAGTGAAGTGAAGTGAAATTAGGTTTAACGTCGCAACCAAAATTATTTCACTTATATAGCGACGTGCATGCATGTGTGTGTGTGGCTGCTTGTACTAGTCCGGACTGATGCCGATGTATAGTGCTAGCTCACGGAGATACAATGCCCCAGTTTAACGTGACTCCGAGACGACCAGTCCTTGTCCTAGCCCCTAAATGCTCAGCGCCAGACAGCGTTCTAGCAAGTACTACTTTTAACTTATTTTGGTATGACGCGGCCGGGGATCGAACCCCGGAACTTCCGCTCTCGGGGCGGACGCTCTACCACTAGACCAGTAAAATAAACGACATTCATATATCGTGTCTCGTTCTACACACCACTTTGACCTTGTGTCAAGTGGCACAAACACACCCATGTCTTAAATAATCCTGGTGTGGGATATGGACTCACAGAGTATCAGTTGCAAGGGATGAGAAACACTCGCATTTCTAATCGCGTTGAGTCGCAAGTTAAAGAGACGATGCGTATTTCAGCAGTCGCATCTATAAGAAATTTGAATTGAGTTGTTTAATTAAGCACTTCCACTTGTTCATGCACATGATCATCACTTGCGTCCTTCTTCTTTCATATTCCATGTTCCCAGTGTTATCCCTTTACAGTGTATTCTTAAGTACATACAAGCAAGATAATGCTATATTAATAAACAACATTCAATGATTATAATATAAGAACTTCAAATGACTAAAACATGCACACTCTACATCGTTGTACTGTCAATTGGGATTTGACATGCTCTTTCAATATAGTGTAATTAATAAATGCTTTTGTTTCAAAAGAATATCCCTTCAAAACGTTATGAGTTGTGAAGTGTTTTAAGGTGGGATACGGCTATGAAACAAACAAAAAACAACTTGGATTTACATTAGGTAACAGGTAATGGCTAAGTAAATGACCGTGAAGAACGACCACATGTTGCTACACACCAGCTGGACAATAACCCTGAATAATCTGTAATGGCTAAGTATATTGTCGCGAAGAACGACCACATGTTGCTACACACCAGCTGGACATAACCCTGAATAATCGGTAATGGCTAAGTATATTGTCGCGAAGAACAGCCATATGTTGCTATACATTAGCCTTCCATACGTGTTTACATTAATATGCTGTAGTACGCTGATATGTTACATATACTTGTCAATATATGGTGGCAATCCTGTGAATTTGTGGTGATTTTCAGTGACAGCAAATGCTTGAACTACAACAAACACACTTCAGGTGTTGTCGTGGACTGATTGAAATAGGACTCAATTCAACGAGTTGAGCTCTCAACGAAAGGTGTTGTATTAGACTTGGATTTATATGCCCCTGTTGTGTATATATGTCAGTCTTGATATTTGTAGAAGTATTTTATTGGGTAAGTTTCTTAAAGGTTGGATGTACATGAATAATACATGAATAATAGCGACACAGCCTGCTCATAACTAACAACTTTTCATCGTATTTGGTTTCGGAAAACACTTTGTACTTATTTCTAGAATTCGGATGTGTTTGATATCAATGATAATAATTGCCATACGTGGTTAAAGTGGTATTATTGATCCACATATTTGTGCTCACCACAGAAACGCAGAGACAACAGTTGGTTCGCAAACTCTACCTTCTCGCCATCCACTTGAAAACTAGTTACGCCTCTCGCTATCAACTTTTGCACTTCACGATTGCATCAGGTGACCGAGTGCTACCATCTATCAGTTACTTGTAATAATATTAGGTGATCTGACGCTACCATCTATCAGTTACTGGTATTAATACTAGGTGACTTTCATGGTGAAACCAGTCATGTCGACAGGTCCTCGCATCGTCCTCTCGGGTGTCTGCTGTAATTTCCTATTTTGACGTGTGTATCATATACTCTCGAAATTGTACAGGGGTGTGTTGACGTGTGTTTGTGACGGGTGGAACTTGTGGTGAAGGTATCATCACAATTTGATTAAGATTCATAAACACATATTGAGGTTCATTCGGAAAATTGAGTAATGTCCTTGTATGAACTTTCTTATGATTATGGAAAAGATGTTGCTGCTTGAGTTTAGTAGCAGCCATCCAGCAGTTTAATCGTTCAGTAAAAATCTCCTGATGTAGTTGAGGACAGCAATACTACATCATCGTTACTGTACGTTGTCCTGCCATTGTTACTCGTTAATGTGAAGTATATATATTTATTGCACAAATATGCAGTGTAATAACTTGTTGATATTTGCACAGCTTGCAATTAGTGATTCTTGAAGCTGATTGGTCAGTGGAACAAAGATCAATTTTCATTGGACAACGGAACTATTTTTTTCTCATCCCATTCATTCACACATCTGCGCCTTTCCCTACAGATGTTTCACGTGCTACAATCTCACTGATTCAAGATTATAAGACAAGACACATAGTTTCATATTAACATGATTTCACATCATCATTTTTTTCATTTATTTCACATGATTTTCATTTTACAGAAAAAAACAAAACTACGTCCCCGTTTGTGAACAAACATGGCTGGCCATTTCAGACCTGTCAAAGTAAATGACCTCGTTAAAGCGGACGGAGATCTGACTGACATGAAAACTTATTGGTATAATTCGACCTCTGAACACATTTAATGTCTTTGTTGTCAAAACTGCATATGGCCAGATTGAAGTTCCAAGATTCAGATTGTGATGTTGCCAGAAACTGTTTCTAGGGCGCCAAGATCATCACCACCAAGTCCTGCATTGCGTCTGTGTTAGAGGGCTTGCTGTTTGATGAAATTGTCGACCACCCGAATAAAAAAACCGGACTTTGTATAGACAGGTTTGCCTTTGTGAACGATGATGACATTGATAACTGCCAATGAAAATTAAAACACAATGAAAAAGACTAAACTTGACAAGTTGACATGAACTTAGTTCACAAATGTATACAGGTAAGAAAAACACGAAAAATATGACTACTCACACTTTCAACGATGGCATGAGAATATAAACAAATTTATTTTGCAATAACATTTAGACTTTCCGAAAGACATCATAAAGAAACACTATTTCGTACAATTTCGTAACGTTGTGTGAAGAAATAAGAACGTGACACGTTTTTATACAATGTATACGCTTTTCGCAACCACGACGTCTGGAAAGTACGGCGCTGAGCGTATGCATGCTGACTGACTTCCAGGCACCATATGACAATGAGGGTTTCTGGCACAGGAAAGGTGCAACTAAACATTAATATTTGCAAATTTATCATTTCGGCATGCACATCAGACCGTTCAGAATTCGAACTGTCTGCTTTGAAGGATATCACGGGTAGCATAGAGTGTTACTTTAGCGACATCATTACCAGCATCTGGTTGCGAAATCGATGCACTTTGCTGAACTCGGAGAGGTTTTGATATCAAAACAAAAATAATTAAAAATACAAGGAATAGAAAACTTACCCCAGCGAGCTGATCCTGTGTCCGATATTGAACTAAATGAACTCCGTGAATGCGGAAAGCTTAGTACAAAGTCTCCAGATACCGTGTTTGTCTATCAACAGGTATTCGACCATTATGAATCACATCCAAATATCAACAAACTCCCGTCATCTGACTTTGTCCACTTCGCGTTTGACAAATCCTCCTGAAATCCCATATGCAAATGTTTCCCATCGGTGACACCTTTCTCAAATCACACACGATGTTCATTAAACTGGTTGTCCGGATTAAACTGTAACGCTGGTTCTCTTGCCAATCCTGGTTTCGGCTGTCTCAAATCTGGGTCAAGTCATTCATTCCGACACTGTGACAGCAATCGTACTTTTCAAAGTTTTCCGTCTTTTCGTAACTTTTCTCTAACAAACAAGACTTATCTACCTTACGTCTATATTGCTGTTATAGGTTTTGGCATTTTTGTCAAATGACATAAAACAATTGACAGGTTTTCCGTGTTTCCTCTTCTCAATGTGAAATGCTTGTATCTGCCGATGCACGACTGGGGCTGTCTGTCAGTGACGAGATCTTGTCAAAACAAGCTTTGATTAAAAAACCTGATGAACCTTTTTGGAAACCTGTCTTCTTTATCAATACTAGATAGTGTACGCTGTGTAAATCGGAAAGAAATACAACTGCAATAATGTGATCTTTACATTTACAGAACTATATTTCTCACGCGTAACAACACGTTAATTGAGTAATGCGGTTGTAATGAGTGGACAGTGTTTTTTCATACGCGG